TGCTGGTATCCCAGATTTTGACCGTCTTATCATGGGAGCCGGAAACAATGCGAGCACCATCAGATGAAAAGGCCACTGAGCTGATGTAGTCACTATGCCCCTCCAGGGTTTGCAGGCAGGCTCTGCTGCTGGCATCCCAGAGCTTGACTGTATTATCATGGGACCCAGAAGCAATGTGGGCACTGCCAGATGAAAACGCCACTGAGCTGACCCAATTACTATGGCCTTCCAGGGTTTGCAGGCAGGTTCCATTGCTGGCATTCCAAATTTTGACCGTCTTATCTTCAGAGCCAGAAGCAACGTGGGCACCATCGAATGAGAAGGCCACTGACATAACCCAACCACCATGACCTTCTAAGATTTGCAGGCAAGCTTCATTGCCATAATCCCAGATCCTGACTGTGCCATCATGAGAACCAGAAGCAACATGGGCACCATCGAATGAAAATGCCACTGAGCTGACCCAATTTTTATGACCTTCCAGGGTTCGCAGGCAGACTCCATTGCTGGCATCCCATACCTTGAGTGTCTTATCATGGGACCCGGAAGCAATACTGAAACTGTCAGATGAAAAGGCCACTGACCTGACACAACCACGATGGCCTTCTAGGGTTCGAAGGCAGGCCCCATTGCTGGCATCCCAGATCTTGACCGTCTTATCATCAGACCCAGAAGCAATGTGGGCACCATCAGATGAAAAGGCCACTGACCTGACACTATCACTATGGCCTTCCAGGGTTCGCAGGCAGGCCCCATTGCTGGCATTCCAGATTTTGACCGTCTTATCTTCAGAACCAGAAGCAATGTGGGCACCATCAGATGAAAAGGTCACTGACCAGACCCAATCACTATGGCCTTCCAGGGCTTGCAGGCAGGCTCCATCACTGGCATTCCAGATCTTAACTGTCTTATCATCACACCCAGAAACAATGTGGGCACCGTCAGATGAAAAGGCCACCGACCTAACGCATCCACTACGGCCTTCCAGGGTTTGGAGGCAGGCACCCCATTCGGGTTCCATAACTGGCTTTGTAGTGATCCAATGTGGCCCCTCATTCTTGTAAAAATGTCGTGTTAAACTGCCAACTGGACTGAATATAAGTGCTGAATAATATACTTGCAGAGGACTACCCTCAATAACACCCCTGTTAAATAAAACAAAGCGATGGGCATCCTGGACCAGCTTGGAAAGGCTAGATTCTTTTGGTACACACTGGATGAATTAGCATCTATAGGGACCCTATTGCAGAAAAGGGTAACTAACTGTGACCAAGCTGAGTAGCTTAACTATTGCAGACACACCGTTTGACATCCTCTTCATAAGGCTTAAAGCTTCCAGCCAGTGAAGAAGATGCTTCTTGAGAAAGACATCCACAGATCCATTGTCATGGAGGAACGTTCTATTGTGACTGCTTCCCATTTCATGGAGATGGTCGACCCAATATACACACGCGTATTGGATTGATGCAAGCGGGTCTTCCAATGGCGGATGAACATCTGTAATGCAAAGTCCTGGATGCTGCAGAGTATAAATATCTCGTCTCAGAACCTGTGACATGGATTCAAGTGACTGCAATACTATTGTGCAATGTGCTTCTGTACGCCCATGGGGGAATATCTCAGCATTTGCATACCGCACAATGTAGTCCTTTGCTGATTGGTGAACAAAGTAAATTGTTTCATTTTGAACACTCAAGAAAGAACCACAGAGGTTCACGACATCTTTGACATCATCTTGATCACTAGTAATTTCCTCTGGCAGACAAGCAACAGCAACAAGCTCTTTCAAGTGTATCGGCCGATATGCAAGTGTACTGGCAGCAAGGACTTGCTTACACAACACAGAGACTTTACTATCACAATGGGTGTGGATTTGATCGATCATTCGTTGATAAAAGGGTTGCAGCCCACGTGGGAATGACCTTAGTATTTCACTTGTTCTCGAGCGTAGAGTACTTTCAAGTTGTTTGCAAACAAGAGCCACCCATAGAAATGTGCCAGATGAGTTCTTATGCAGATAGTCCCGCACGTCAGCTTGAAGGTCGCTCTTATACTGTTTCAGTTGGGCTAGTTTAGAAGCTTTATGGTCAATGTAGGCGCTGACAGCATCAGAAACCCGACTTTCTGTATCTTGTTCCAGATCAAGCTGTATTCTTCCATTTCCAGGGCACAAACGCTCTTGAATATCAAGCCTGTTGCGGCTGGACACCAGCCACATGACCTGACAATGTGGGTGTGCAGAAGTTTCATTGATGAAGCCCAAAAGTTGCTCCAATCCAGATTGACATTCATCAAGAGCATCCACCACCAAATACAATTGATTGAGCCTGGGGTCCTGAAGCATGTTGTTAAAAATTCGGGACATCGAAGGGAATGCATTGCCACCCTCAAATAACTTGGGCCCTGCCGTGTCGTATTCTTTACGAAGGTGTGAGACGAGATAAGGTTGCTGAACAAGCATATGGTAAATCAAGCCCCTCAGCACCGCTGTGGCATTGTTGAGTTTTGCATCGGTTGCTTGACAGAAGAAAAAAGACAGGTGCCTGGACTTATGAGAGGGGCTTGATAATAATTCCTTGATGATTCCTATCAGAAGCATTGTCTTCCCCTTGCCTGGATCACCCTTGATCCATAGGAGCTGGGTCATCTTGTCATCTGTCCACTCTATAAAGCAAGGGTGGCTGAGGATCCATACGAAGGATTCACGCAGCAATGGATCTTTGCTGTCTTCAATGCGCTTCACATCATCTTCAGGATTTGTCAAGCGTAAATCCTTCAGACACTCTCTGTCTTTTTCTTTCTCTTGGTCTTTTTTGGCATGCTCTTGAGAATCCCTTTGCATCGACATTTGCTCCCGGAGGGCGTGGTGGATGCCACGCAGGGTCTTCATTTCTTTCTCCTGGATATCCACGATTTGTTGGGTACTGTACTCCTGAGAGCTTTCAAAAAACGCTGTTACCGCTTCTCCAATATCATCTATTTGCCCTTCCCAGTCATGAAGTTGCACAAGGTCTTTGAGGAAGACAAGGCCCCGGTTCTGATAGTACGAGCAAACGCTCTTCATCTGATATGAGAGGAGCACCTTATACAGATGGATGATTTGGCCCTCCAGCCCTGATTGCAGTTCTGCATAATCTTTGCTTTCCAGGTCCCGCTCCTTGAGTAAATGGCGAGACAAGCTCCAGTACCAGTCCATCTTTCTAACAACATATTCAATGCCAGCACGGTTGATTTCTGTCTCCTTAATAGGGTTGGCTATCATCTGTGAACAGGTCAGCATCATCTTGATTATTTTCAGGTTCAGTGACAGCACTCACCTGTAAAGCGAAAGTAACACCAGTCCATGCAAGAGCAGCTTCTGGGCAGGCTTTGAGTGCAGTGCTTATCATATGGTTTGAAGCAAGAACAACATCCACCACATGTCCAGCGCCCTGTTTGACTTTGGCCTCAGGTTCAGTCTTGGCCAGACCCTTGTCAATGAGCTTCCTCATCTGCGATCGTCGCGCCTCTTTATCCTTCTGCTCAATCATGTTCTGCTGATCATTGGATGCTGAGGCCGTAGGTGTTTCAGATAATTCACAAGACAGAACCCTCTCATAGGCTTCCACCAACTCAGGCTGACCTCCCCTGAGGTTGTCGTACGCTCTGTCCCAGAGTAATTTTGGTTCAAATAGGGTGGCAGATTGCTTTTGAAGTGAATCCTTCCAGACAGCATCACCGCCGGAGGGTGTCGTTTCTGGTTTATGACCTGTTTCAGGCATGCCATGGGCATGTTGGCTCTGCAGCTTGGTTTGAGATATTTGAGTCAAGTCTGTTTTCCCGGCGGGATTTTTAACAGTATTTTCAGGCGGAACAACAGGCTCACGGTGACTATTAGCTTCCTCTTCATTGGATATCATCTGCCTTGAATGCTTGTTGCGACGATAAATTTTGAATTGTGAAAACCATTTCCTTCCTGCCATGGTGCTTGAATCAATAGATAGAAGTTGTCAAGGAGAAGATCAAAAAAGACTGAAAACACCCAACAATTCTCAGTCCAAGCCTGTTGGCGGCTATTTTGTGGAGCAGCGCTTTAGTTGATTGCCCAATCCCAGCAGTTGTGAGAACATTATTGGTTGTTTAAGCTTGACTGAAGTTGAACCCTGAGCTGGGAAGTCATCATCATTCTCATGATGACTAGTTAGTTAACTACATTATGTCAGAGCCCATCTTTGGCCAGCATAAGCCATGATATCTTGATGGAACTTGATTTTGATAATTATGCTCTATCTTACTGTATCATTGAATAGGTGTGGGAGTGGCAGTAAAAGCATCTGAACCAGTCATATTACATGAAAATCCCACCTTTGGCTCCCGGAACCTCCCCCGGAACCTCTCCCGATCCCGAAAGTCTAATTATATGCAACCAAACTGTAATGTAAATGTCGCGTTGTATTGTGTTAAAAGTTTGCGGCCAAATCCACCAGGAGTGGGGGCGAATTGTGACCGGGCGGCTATTGTTGTGGCATCATTGGTATCACAAAGGCTCTGTCTTATTGTCCCCACTTGAAAAAAGGCCGCGGATAAACCCGAGCCCAGTGCTTGGACCACTAGAAGGCAGTCTATCATATACCAACGTTCAAGGCGGAATTGTAAGGTACAGCACAATTCAGATGCATTACCCATATAAGCTATTTTGAAGTGCAAAGATGAAGCACCATGATTTTGGCAGGTTCTAGATTGCTTGAACTAGGTTCTTCCCCCAATTTGCACAAAACCTTCTAGAGAAAGCTGCATTGCCCATACTGGTAATATACAACAAACCTTGTAATATTACAAATCAGTACAATATCACGATAACAGGAATGATATTGAAAATAATTATATATGGACTAGCGTGTTTCATAGTAGGGTTTGGGAAACAAACAAGAGTAGTCGGGAGGGGGAGGGGGCAAGCTGATTTTCGGCTTCTGTGTATGCCGGACTTTTGAATACGTTGGCCGCTCTGATTGACTAACCAGAGCCCGAGTTACCCGCCTGTGATGGTCTCGGGCAATATGAATCTATTGGTAGACTATTTGGCGAAATACTAGCATGAGGAAGAAGAAAGGAAGCCGTCTGGCAAGACAAAGGAAAACTATCTAACCATCATGTGATCAGGTGCAATAGGGCTCTCGCTTGTCGTTTGCTCATACTGCCCCGTTGGCAGCGTTTTCTCTTCATTAGCGGTGTTTGCCATTATCGACAGTTGGTCATTAACCGTTGGCCGTTACGCCCTTAGAGCGGCAACAAGAAAAGGGCAAAAGTGACGGTTGACCGAACTTAGCATATAGTCTAAATGCGACTGAGCGAACGGGAGGCCTTGCTTTCCACACCGTATGGTCACTTGTACTAGATTTATTGCTAGAGTATATATATAGCACGGTCTAGTAGGGCGGCTCAGCAATGTGTACGTGGTGGAGTACGGGTAGTTAAGTTTCCCTGAGATCTAAGTATTCCGTAGTGTAGTACTCTGTATCAACTAACACTTAGAGAATTTACCGAACCATGGCTGGACTGTCAAATATCCTCAAGATGCGCTTTCAGTTATCAGTGGCTAACCCGATCTTGCAAGTACGGCCGCGTTGAGATACAATCTGCGACATCACTAAGGACTTCCTGTGCATTTATAAGAATTGCATCCCATGCGACTTTCAATGACAATGACCGCTCGATTCCAATCGCAATGAAGTACGCATTGGTAACTGGCTGCAAATCTGACAGCATGGGCTATTTCCTGGCGCGAGAATTCACAATCAAGGGCTATCATATTTCCGCAACTGCGCACCGAATCTTAAATATGGATTATCTCACCTCAACACCCGGACTCATCACACCTGTGACGGCCTGGGCACATTGGCTGGCTATCACGTGAGATGCAGTTGTTTGCTTTGTTGATAAATACGGCGCCACCTCCTTTCTTCCTTCCCTCATGTTGATTATTCTCGTCGATAGCTACCTAGGTAGAACCCATGAGTTGGATGCTCTATTATTCTAGTAGAGCGCCGTGGCATCTATAGCTTCTAGCACCAAGGGTGCGATGTTGACACCGGGGGTGTGATGCAGTATTCTAAAATGGGAAGTCCTCGCACTGGGGGTTCTCAGGATCATACAGGTGAGCAGATAATGAAAACAAAGGCGAAATGGCTCGAAAATGACGATAAATAGCGAGAGCCCCCAGAATTTTTTGGTTGTATTCTGCATCCATGCACTCTTCCCCTGCCTTGACATTTTGGCCTTTCTCTCTCCCCTCCGTACCCACGTGATAATATATGACCATGATTGATGAGGCCGTCTCCAGCAGCTTGCGGAGGAACGGCAGCGTCTAGCAGCTTCTCGTGGCTTCACCATCGATTATCAGAACGAGCAGGCATCACAGGGAAATGTCTGATGTTATAAGAGCTGGCACGCTCGACATATGAAAAGCATGATCGAGCAATCGAAAACTGGATAGTGTAAGTCCATGCCTGACAAACCCATAATATCACCGTTTATAACAAGATCACCATGAAAGCTGGCACTTTTCACGCAAAGAGAACCACGAAAAGAATTTCTCTAAGGATGAACCCAATCCGTCGCCCCAGACCTTGAAGTTATTCGTTGAGAGCTTTATTGCAACACGGACGAACACTCCTTCCCAGAGGACAACCTGTGATAATCTAATCAACTTTACTTCTTGCTAGGAGCGAAAAACGAACCGAATACTCTCTCCTGACGTCTAGAGAGATGTTCTGAATGTATGACTACACAATGCCACCAACTTCTTATAGAGATGGAGTCTGCTGACATAACTTCACTATATACGGACCAAACTTACGCGAAAGTATGGACTGCCTACCAAGCCGAGAGAGCGGTTTCCCGTGACAGCTAAAGATATTGGCTACCTTCTTCGCCATCTATTCGAGATTGATGACCACGATTTTTACATGAACGAATGAGAGTTCAGATAGGCTCCGCACTGTCTTTGTTCGCTGGCTCAGGGGCGCGGGCAGGTGCAGTTGTTGAATCAAGCTCTTATCGTAATATAAATGAGTGTCTTTATTATAAGGTAGGGCCTAGTCAGTCACCTCTGTATATACTACGCACTAGCAGTTTTGTCCTACTACTCAGCACCTTACCTTCAATCTAAAATGGAGCGAGAATGGCTCAATCGAGCGATGGGTAGTAATAGATTCTGAATTCCTTAAAGGTAGCGTTACCGAGACGATACTAAGTTGTAGGTTTTAAGAGGTGCAAGGTGTTTCCACATTTGTGTGCTGACTCTATGATGCTTAGGCCGAGGACCTGGTTCCGGGAGCATCCTGTGCTTGGGATGGACTTTGTCTTCTGGGTTTTTGTTCATGGAATTGCAGATGGCGCATTTAAGGGTATCTCCTCTGTTGATGAGCTCTTGTAGAAACGGCCTCCGCCAGGGAGAGAACCTTTCACGCTTGAGTGGACAGATCGCGCCCAGACACTTCCTTTTTTCCGCATGGTAACATCACAGGGACCTGAAGAAAAGAGAGGATTGACATTCTCTTCACTCCATCATAATTTCACAAGCCCAGCTGAACGAGACGGGTTTAAAGACCGCCTTCGAGTCCACGGAATCAGAGCGGGAGTAGCAAATAAAATTGACCGTATAACTCCCCATCTCCCACATTTTCCTAGTCCTACTGATCATCTTGTCCAGATAAGATGTCCGAGGCTATGCGTAGCCAAGGACTTGACCATCAGGATCACGACACGTTCCTTAAGTATCAGTCTGAACTGAAAGCATTAGATATACAGGCATTATTTCACGACATGGAGCCGGATTATGGGTATTTCAATGTTTTGTCCATCCAAGACCCTCAGTTCTCCGCCCATTCTTGCCCGGATTTCTTTTGGTGACCTTGGTCTTTATGGATGACGAGATTTTGGACAAAAAGAGAAAGGAAAATGAGCAATTAGATTTCTGGGTAGAGAATCCGGGCCACAAAACACATGGGAACAGGAAGCGGGAAAAAGGTGCCTGAGAAAAAGACCTGTGAGATGCCCGAGGAACAAAGGAAAATGGGATGGAGTGTAGTGTTCTCCCATAGTGGTACGGCAGTCTATCTCCCGTGCGTTCAACCTGGCTAGACCCCACGAAGACCCTCCACCTGATTCTCGACCCTCGCTGAACTTCATCTACCCTCATTTTCATAGATTTTCATAAAATTTTCACACTTTAACTGTCTGATCTGCATGCATAAAATGGTTATCTATCTTAATATAGTACTGTTTGTCTTGTTTGATCACCTACGGATTGAGGTGAGATCTAAAGCTTACTGCATGGACCACGCGCACTAAAACGCGTCTTCAAGAATAACCCTATTTGAACACTCATCTCCAACCCTTCTCAACTATTGCGGGAATTTATCAAACGGGAGGCAGAATACTGCTAAGTATTCCAAGGATGACAAACCGCCTTGCAGTCGCCCTCTAGCTCCAGTCTGTTGGTACAGTGATTTAGGAGCTTTATACCTTGTCAATTTGTTGTGAGCTTAATGCGCTGGTACTCTTCTGAAAGAAGATTTCTTTTCTTCTCTTTTTCTTTTCCTTTCTTTCGCCCGTAATTAGAAAGCTATATTTTACCATGTTGTTCAAAGGATGATCAATTGAAATCGTCTAACACCCAAACTCCCTATTTAATGCTTTTGGAAAGAAGACACTGTAAACGTCTAGAAATTTTCCATCTAAGCAATGGGAGTCATGTTATTCCTGCTATTTATTCCGGTATATAGTAGTATTATCGACTTTATCTATAACTTAAAACAAGCAAGTAATACTCGTTCCTAGTAGCGAGCCCCCACCCCGGATATAGGCGTAAGAAGTTATTGGAACTCCATCTAACCGATTCCCTGTCAGAGGTCAATGAGGATTGTGTGACTCGGACGAATTTCTCATCGGAATATAGACCAATAAATTTGTCAAATCCCGACATCGTACCCACAAAAGACCAAGCGGGGTAGGTGCTCCTTTCAAATATATATTTAAAGACTTGCCTAGTCATGCCACTTACCAACGAGCAAATCTGTAGTTCTGAAAGCATCTTTGAAACCATTAAGAGATCTCCAAGCTCCCCACCGCGCTCTAGACAATGTCTCGCTTACCTACTCTGGACCACATCGTCATTCTTGTATCTCATGACACCCTCATAGGCCTATCCGACCATATCCAACATCTATTCATCATAGCGCCTGGCGGGAACCATGCTGATGGACTCACCTCTAATAAGCTGGTCCTTTTCCAGGATGGGGTTTACCTAGAATTCATCGCTTTTTTCGACGACATTGACCCCAATCGACGGAGCAAGCATCGCTGGGGAAACCTCAAAGAAAACACTATTATCGACTGGGCTTTCACACACCCTCCAAATGACGATTTCGGCGCTATCAAGCAGCGAGTCCAGGATACAAACACAACCCTCTCATACGAGGAGCCCGTCGCCGGGGGCCGAAAGAAAAACGACGGGACAATCTTAGAGTGGACACTCAGCGTGCCAATAGACGCAGATGCCCCCACCAACGCCCTTTCACCCGGGCGTCTACCATTTTGGTGCCTTGACAAAACGCCTCGCGAACTGCGCGTTCCATATGCCGCGGAGCCTCATCTGACTCAACACCCATCCGGTGTGTCGGGTATCTCTTCGTTGTCATTGTCTGTCCCTGGGCGAGAGAGTGCAGAACTGGCAGAAGTGTACAGGGCTATATACGGGAGTCGTGATCCGGCAGATCTAGATAATCGAGTTTGGCCTTATGAGGTCCCTTCAGGGTTGATGGCTGGTAGACACATTATTAGGCTGCTGGAAAATGCAGAGGAGACGACTATTACGCTAGCTTTGAGTGGGCCCAGTCCTGGACGAATTGAGCTTTTGCCAGGGCTTGCTATTGATATTGAGTAAAGGATGGTTATGATATGATGGTTGTGTATGTAAAGATCTAGCACCCTAATGTCACCGTACATTGTGGCTTTTTTTTTTTTTTGGAGGGGGGACAACGCTCCTCTTCGTGGCAATCTACAAATGAGAGTAACTTCCTTATGCTCACAATCTAGGCTCTATAAGTAACAGACAAATTACCCCACCAACTAACAACGGCCATGCACCACCATCTAAAAGATCAAGAAAACGCAATCATTCCAAACCCAGTAGGTCAACTATTTCAGTCCACTTAACTCCAGAGGGGGCCATTCGGTTACTGACTAGGCTGGCCATTTGAGATTATATCTCAATCTCAAATCTTGGTTCCTCATATCTATTGTGTCCTTCATTAGCTGCGAAACCGAACCCCGAGGCACCACTGCGAACAAGACTTACAAGGACTACTGCAACCGATCATAAATCGCCACGCTGCCTTAATCATCGCTTTGAGGTTCCCCGTTTGCTAAATCTGTATTATATTATGGTATGTTTTTGGCAGGGGATGTCAGCTTTCATTGCCAGACTCAAAAAGCTTAACTTCCTGGCCATTTCTACTTTCATTCAGTTCTGCTTTTCATGCAGAGGAAACAAACATTGGCGGCTGGGTTGCATTCTGGCAACCCTGACATGACACACTGTACCAATGCTTGACTTGCAAGATATTACTAATGCTCGTGGCCTTTAACCTACCCTGTACTTGTAGTTGGATAGTCATTGCTTCAATTGCTATCCGCACTTGGTACAAATTAATCGCTTTCTCGCTCCCATGGTAGCAGCAAGTGCAAACGCGTCATGGAGTCTGCGCCACCTTTCCCATAATCAGCCATGGCATGCTATGTGTGGCCTTGTGAGACTATTTATTTGGTTGATAATGGTGGTCCAGCATATAAAAATTGTCGTGCGCATCGTATCACCGTCCTTTTCTTATGGCTGCGGTGAATACATTATACAGCTGTGTCACCGGACGAAAATAATGTCTCTTGGTGATGTTGGGGCTAATCTTGGCTCCAAAATCTCACAACCCGTTACATATGCTGTTACGTCACTTCTCTCAATCGCCCTTTATAATGTCATTGAATTGCATTTCCTTCTTTTCTCTACCTTCAAACGCCGTAATGGCCTCTATTTCTGGAGTTTCCTGGTAGCAACCTGGGGAATAGCCATTTACACGATCGGGTTCATCCTCAAGGACTTCAGCCTTGCAGAACGCATCTCCTACTTGTACGTAACATTCATCATCATAGGCTGGTGCGCCATGGTTACCGGCCAGTCAATGGTGCTTTTTTCCCGTCTGCACCTGGTCGTGCGACGTCGCGCTATTCTTCGCTCGGTTCTCGCGATGATCATCCTCGATGCGATCATACTGCACATCCCAACCATCGTGTTATGCTACGGTGCAAATTCACCACAATATCGCCGTTTCGTTAGTCCATATGCTGTATATGAAAGAGTTCAAGTCACGGTATTCTTTGTCCAGGAGTCAATTATCTCGGTCATCTACATGTATGAAACGTGCATGCTGATGTATTCGGGCGGATCCTTCACCGAGCAGCACGGGGAAGCTGGTCGAAGGCTCTTGGTGCATTTGATCTGCGTGAACATCATCGTGATCTTGCTGGACATAGCCATCGTGGTGCTTCAATACACGGGTCATTATGTGTCACAGACTGCATCCAAGTCGCTTATATACAGCGTGAAATTGAAGTTGGAATATGATATTTTGAATCGATTAGTGGAGTTGGCGCGGAGACCCAGTAATTTGAATTCGGGCCTGATCTATGGGGGTCGTTTGGGATATATAGGTCGGAATGGCCAAGAAGGTGAAGGTCAAGCTGATGGTGGTGTTCAACGCCCCCCTCGGAGGCATTGTTCCTGTCCCTGGGCTATTTTCGCTGGTAAGGTTAAGGAATTGGATTACCGGCCCGGCGGAGAATGAGGTTAGAAATGGTTCACAAATTGTCAAGTGGCAGCCTCTTTGAACTCTGATCTAGCCAGGATATTGATGGTTCTCTGCGTACACTTGAATAATAAGGTGAGGCAACAACGTAAAAGGACGGAGAATACCGAATGGAAAATATAGTGAGTGGGAAAGGGTAGGGGTAAAAGAGTCATGGCTCTTTCTCCTCTTTCTCCCCTTCCTCATGAGCCACCAGGCGATATACGTGACACAAGATTCAGTTGCCCACCTCCTGCCATGGTTCCGTCGTCGGAACTGGTTCTCAAGTGCAAAGTCAACCTCACTGTTTCAAGGCTCAGCTTCAAACTATGCTGCACAGGCACTAGGCCAGCAAGCTTGCCGCAACTGAGGTCTTGACATGTTCAATTGAAGGAGAAGCCTTTGTTGAGAAATAAAGTGACATGGATGAAGAAGATAAGAGACGGTTTGTCTGTCGGGAACCCAGCTGACAAAAATGCGGAGGGCTCAGGAGGGAACAGAACTAACTTGATCGTTGTTGTATTGATGTGTTGGTAAGATTCATGATTGTAGTATTCGAGGTAGACTGTCAATTCCATTTTTGAGTAGGCCCAAGCAAATCCCATCCCGATGGTTCCAATTAACTGGGCAGTGTCCAACAGACTATGTTGGTTACAATGATCAGATAGACGAAGTGGTTTTCTGGGCGAGAGCGATACTTATTCCTGTAAAGTAGCATGAGCACTTCATTGAATATATGAACTTTCTGATTGTACAATTCATTTTGTCATGGTCAACCCAGCCATACCCAATTCATATGTTCGGCACTCTTAGCATTCATATTTCCTGGTATTACCGCTATCACTCGACTCTGGTAAGTCAACATGACTTATATGAGTCACCATTAGACGTAGGAGTCTAGATATGGTCACATGAAGTGCTGCCTACGAGATGAGTGCTACTCTTAACAACGGGTAAATATAGGCAACTACAAGGAAGTATGAGTATCATCAAATGATTCTCTATTCTCTAAACGCAATTAAATATGCCAACAGCGCCTTATATTGATGTGTCAATAGTCACTTGCCGCGGTTCAAGAGTGTAACCTGCAAAAAACCAAAGCAGGTGAGGACTCTGGGCTTCACACACTCTCCCTGCAAACTGGGAATGCCGTAGTCATCTCTATTGGACTCTAATTCCAATCACCATCTTCGCAACAAGTCCTTGGCATGATCGACGCGGCTGGAAAAGGACGACCTGGACTTTAGCTTGTCGTGTGAATGCTGACCCATATAGACTTGGCCAAAATTTGAAGAAATTCATGACTCGGTCTACAAGACCCTTTTGGTAGCTGTAGTATGGTCTCTTAGTTTGTAGGTTGCAGAATCCTGCTGGTGTGATGCATGCGGTCCTGCATGCTTCTATGCCTGTCAGGCTGCTTGTGATGCAGCATTCCCAGAATTGCTTGAGTTTCCATTTATAGCCGTCTTTGGGAAATTTTTCTGTATTTGCAGCGGCGTGGATAACCATTTGAGTGTTTGTGGGCCAGGTTTGCATATACCACGTAGATGACATGGTGGGCTGCGATAAGCTTTTTCCAGATGGCCCAATGATTGTGCATACGGAGCAGCATGCTCGTTTGGATTATAGCTGTTATAGTACTTGTGGAATTTCTCGTATATGGCATCGCTTTGTCGATATCCATCAGCTGTAAGTCTCTCTTCGGCGTGGTACGCGCGCTCCAAAGGCCCGTCTTGGACCTTCTTTCTGGGCAACGGTCGGGTAAGTAAGTCACATAATTCCGGTCTTGAGTAACGTAAAGGAAACGGTCGATCCATTTCAGTAGGATCCAAGTATACATCGTATTGTCCTCCGTGACGCTCTTCATCGAGACATATAAAAGTTGTACAAATATCTAGTTGATTTTCTCGTTCATATCAAGTAACTTAAGTCTTGCTGCACTACTGATACTTCTTTCTGTGCTTTGCAGATTAGCCAGTTTTGGAATGGGATTCTCTCAGTCCCATAAATTTGCTTGAATTCCTCTATAAATAGATACTTGGTCCCATCCCGTGTAGTCATGTCGTATTAGTCACCTGTATAAATAGCATTATATATATATTTGGTCGTTTTCATGGTTCAAATGATGACAGATCAGTGTCTCGCGCGGTTTGATTCATGATAAATTCGTACTATTCCGCGTAAGACTAGCAAGAAACTGGCGAAGAAATGACCAAATTCGTTTTGTACGCTTTCCGATCCAATTGGTGTGAATTGTATTAATCTGTGATGAAAAAAGGTGCTATTACTATCTTACGAAGGTACGTTCTCTGTATTATATGCTGGCCTAATAATAATATAGATACCGCGTTTATGCCCCAGGCAGCTATACAGTAAGTTCCTCCAGTGGAATTGATATTACTGTTCGCAATCTTTTGATACTCTAGTGTATCGAGTGATGAGCGGTAGCATATTTTCGCGGTTCCTGGCGCATGCTATACATTTGGGAAAACTTCAATATATACGAAAATACATACGGAAACTCGACCAACAGCAGTATTTTTACATCCAACGGAATTATCCTAGGTATTGCTACACTAACCGAGGCTTTTTGATAAGTTGGAGTAACATGCCTTTCCCCGGATTTCAACCCCAGATTTGACCCCCGGATAATCTGGTCTGGACCCGGAGCGGGGACGTTAAGACGGGTCATTTCCGCCATGATCTGGCTGGGCATGCTTGGCGAATCGAGCAATTGTTGAATTACTGGGACTAGGGGGGCGTGCTACTTTACACCTGGATGTAATCTTTGCTAATTAGACGCCATGTCTGCGTCCTGGGATATGCTATATATTCACGCGGTCCTCTCCCCCAGCAGGGGACCAGTCCTGCTCATACATTTGAAATTTAGCCAGCCGGTCCCTGTCTCTAATCTTTCAATATGACAGACGAAAAGCCTAAAGATGATGATTTGCCCGTAGCAAAGCACATCTCTACCGAAGAGGTGCAACCTACTGTGGAAGAGCGTCGTCTGGAGAAGGAGACGCTCTTGAGGCTTGACGTTTTGCTTATGCCAATGACCCTGGTACTATATTTCCTCGCCTGGCTGGACCGTGCCAATGTCGGCAACGCACGAATTGTGAGTTGGTTGTTTCTGTTCTGTCCAGCTATGGATCCTGTTACTCATTAATTATTCTACAGGCCGGAATGGACAAAGATCTCCACCTGTCGGACTGGGAGTATAAGTGTGGTGGGTATTCCAAACTGTTGTATAAACCACATGAACTTACTAATTGGACAAGCTATCACGGTTACCTACATACCATACATCCTCGCCGAGCTCCCTTCCAATCTCATCTTGAAGAAAGTCGGACCTCGAATTCTTCTTCCAACACTATGCACCATGTGGGGACTCATCACAGTTGTCCAAAGCAAGTCACAGACCTTTGGAGGATTTGTCGCCTGCCGTTTCTTCCTAGGATTGTTTGAAGGTGGTCTATTTCCCGGAATCATTCTTTATCTGTCAGGATTCTACCGGCGTCATGAGCTGCAGGTCCGCATTGCGCTCTTCTTCTCCGCGGCATCCATGAGTGGCGCATTCTCCGGTCTGCTGGCAGCTGCTATCCAGCAGATGGACGGTATCCAGAGTCTTCGGGGCTGGCAATGGATCTTCATTCTGGAAGGCCTATTCACCGTGTGCTTTGGTCTCTTCTCCTTCTTCATGCTACCGAACGGCCCCGAGACGGCTCTCACTCTTCGCCCAGAGCATGCCGAGCACTGTATTTCCCGCATGCAACTCGACGCAAACCATTTCGAGACAGAAAAGGTCACCATCAAGAAAGTTGTCTCAGTACTTCTAGACCTCCACGTCTGGATCCTGTGCGCCATCCTCTTCACTAACGGAGTATGTCTCTTCGGCCTTGCCTATTTCTCCCCCTCCATTGTGGAGGCTCTAGGCTACAGCAGCACAACGACCCAACTCATGACCGTGCCCCCATACGCCTGCGGGCTTGTCGTCACGATGATAGTCGCCTTCATCGCCGACCGCTACCAGCAGCGCGGGCTCTGCGCACTAGCCACCAGCGTCATTGCACTCATCGGCGCAGTCCTCCTCCTCGTCGGACGCAGCATGGGCATGCGCTACGCAGCACTAGTCATCTTCGTGACGGGAATCTACTCATGCTCCCCGTGCCTTATCAGCTGGGTCCCGAACAACAGCGCGGGCTATAATCGACGCGCAACCGCTATCGCGATGGGGTTCATATCCACCAGTAGCGGGGGTATACTGAGTACATGGCTCTACCCTAAGAGTTCGGCGCCGTACTACAACCTCGGGGCGCAGTGCAATCTTGCATTGGTAGCTATCAGCATGGTTCTTATAATGGCTCAGATTATGCTTCTGCGAACACTGAATAAGAGGAAGGTGTCTCATCGGGCGAAGATTCTGGAGGGGTTGGAGGACTTGTCGTATGAGGAGCAGCTTGAGCGGTTGGGGGATCGTCATCCTAACTACCGCTATACCTATTAACTGCTATATCCTTCATATGGACAGCAGAATACATTATATACTAAACTACTATACGAATACATTTTACATGCTTGTACAATTGAAGAGTCGTCGAGTATCTCTAACCCACGCGGTACTAATTCCACACGTGCTTGGATCTCCTACGAATGCGGGGGATCGCCTCCAAATCCTGCAGGCCAAGGGAAACGGTTTGAGACCGGATTCTTGAGTCGGCATTTAAGAATTGGAGAGTATTTTCGGCAGTGAATCGCTCGTAAGATCCCGTTCAGAGGCGGTTGGGTGGTTCTCTGGCAGCCGCTGACCGTGATACTAAGAAGTACTCTCTAGGGAATGATCAATGAATGATTGCCGAGAGATTGGAATGATGCTACTGTATATTAGGAAGAGAAAAGCCCCCCTATCTAGGCTATACAGACTACATTTGGTCACATTGTGTGTATAGATATCATAACATATTTGACCGTTCCCATGGTTTGGCGATGACAGTTTAATTAGGGCAGTTCTACAGTATTGACTCGCGATTCGAGTCATGATAAATCCATACTCGACTGTAAAAAAATAATATTAACAGAAAAAAAAAAAAGCAAAACAATGAAATTGTTCAAACTTCAATCAAGCGCAAAAAACGAAGAGAAAAAAAGAATGACCAGACTGGGGCTCGATCCCAGGACCTTATCGGAATCAGTCATTTAAACTGTTAACGATACGTGATAACCAACTACACCATCCGGCCGATTGTTGAAAGCACTAACCTTAGCTGCCTTATGAATCATAACTAAAGGTAACAAAACACTTACTAATCTTGTTTCTTTCTTTAGCGCGATCAACGGGAACAAGTGCTTGTAATACTCCGTACAAATCGTTACGAGTCATTCGTTCCAATTCCCGTTAGAATAACGAAGACGAAGTTGTCAGGCTTGGTTACACCCAAGTAATGAGCACAGCTTGCGGCCAAGTCAATAATAACTTGTACTCCGTATTACTACTGTACTACTGTACTACTACTACCGTCTGGACTGCTCGGCATACTTGGCCGACTCGACCAGAACCTCAGCGTGGGGTTGAGGCAAATTGAGAGGCGAGAGGCAACAGCATTACTCTATTGGGATGTATATCCACTCGGTGTGCGCCAATTTGAGAGTAAATAATGTTTGCGCGAGTCGCTGGCCTGTGATGTTCTGGGCAGAGTCAGTGACCACACTACATTGTAATAATAGGGCTATGGCAATGCCAAGTAATGCAAACACAGAACCACACAAACAAATACGGCCGTGAAAAAAAAGATGACAAAAAAACAAAAAGCAAACCGGCGGACCGGCATAAACAGTGATATCAAACACGCCCAAGCATGCCTATTGGTTCATACCGTTGTTCCGCTCGGGAGGGTCAGAACGAGCCATGGAACGGCTTTCCTATGGGGATCCTTTAATCAAAGCATACCCAAGAATGCATTTATTCGGATTTTGACTAAAATATGGTTCTGTGGTGTTTCTTCCACTCAAAACTAGGTGCAAGCAGACTTGAAGCAATACGTGGAGGGTACGTACTTTGGCTCCATACGCGATTTTAGTGAGCGGGTCGCCGGTTGATTGGCCGTGAATGGGCCATTTGGTGGCAGTGGATAGCCCGGAAAATAGAATGTTCGGACTCTGCTCCATATGGATTCCGGATTTTGTCCAGAGCTTGTGTAGTTTGCTAGAGCATCGTAGAGCATGTCCGTGTATGTGTGATTGGGTTGTGCCTGACAGACATCAGGTACAAGAGACAGATAGCAAAGCTAGTGCTGTAGATGCGTGATTGGCGCTGCGGTGTGAACAGTAGTACTCTCTACAGTACTTGTAGAATATGCAGCCATCATGTATCCATGTGTCTACAGGGTTGTGGACTTGTAGAGAAAACTGCATGTTTGCACTGTATCCAGTCACTGTCAATTGGTCGTGATGTGAACTAATAGTAGCGCTCCGTAGTCCTCCGTACTCCGAATCTAAGCACATGGCTTACGTGGCAGTCATTTCCAGAGACCGGATCCAATGAGGCACAGTGTTCTAGCAGTACTCCATACTTTCCATACTTGTGCTCGATATCGACGTCTGTAAATACTAGAAGAATGCTACTGACACATTCCAACGATTACTGATCGTCCTGTCAGATCAGTGTCTCCCCGATGAGCTTTGATAGTCCTCTGTATTATGATACAACTATACCGTACTAATGAATCCGTGGATGTATCCGATCGGCTGTATTGTTCCAGGGGTCGGGAGTCCAGGCCCTTGGCTACAGCCAATCAGAGCCTCGCCCTGAGCGGCTGCCAGTAAGCTCAGGAACCGTCTGGCCATATCCTCCAATTAGAATAGCCCTCGCGACCCGCGGCCCCTGGCCCGCCCCTTTTCAGTAATTACAGTGATTTGGTCTAATTTCAGCGAGCGTTTGACCGGGGCTGGCGGCTGGCCTTTTATTATGCGCCGTTCCCCCAACGCTCATCTTTTCTCTTTTTCTTCTTCACCACCTTCTTCTATCCTCTCCAGGTTCGCATTCACACTCTTTTCTGCTCCTTTTGGACAGTCGTTCTTTGAGCTCTGCTCTCTGTCATTCTTTATCCACTTTCTTTGATACTTGCGTGCCTGGGGCATCGAACTCATCCCCTACTACAACAATAACAGTCCTTTTATATACTCGATACGAAACACAATGCAGCTTAAAAACTCCCTCGTCCTGTTCACAGCATTGACCGCTGCCACCGCCAGCGCACGTCTGCACGGCCACGAGCGACGTCATCATCATGATAAGCGTGCGGTAGGTGACATGGTCTATGCCACCATCAACGGCGTTATCCAATCCTGGGTCAACGATTTCTCTGGTGGCCATGAGGCCACCACTACCTCTTCGGCTACTGAAGAGGCTACCCAGGTCGCTACCACCACGACTTCCGACGTCGCGTCCGTTTCTGCCGTCCCCACCTCCGACTCGTCCTCGTCCCCCTCCGTCGAATGGTTCAACCACCCATCCAACGGCCAGTACACCCGTAAAGGCTTTGGCGGCAAGACCTCCTCCAGCGGCGGCGGCGGCACCATCTTCTATGCCGGTAACGTCGGTGACCCGTGGGGTAGCAACATCATCGAAGTGTCCGCCCAGGACGCCTCTCAGTACAAGCACGTCGTCGAGTTTGAGGGCAGCAACTCCCAGGCCTGGACTGTCGTTTTCTGGAACAAGATTGGCCCCGATGGAAAGCTTACCGGCTGGTACGGCAACGATGCTCTCAAGTTCACCCTCGAGCCCGGTCAGGTCCGCTATGTTGCCTTTGACGACGATACCCAGGGTGGCTGGGCTGCCGCTCAGGGTGAGGACATCCCCAAGGACTCGTTCGGTGGCTACAGTTCCACATGGGGTGAGTTTGATTTCTCGAGCTCTACCAACAACGGCTGGTCCGGCTGGGATGTTTCCGCTATCCAGGCCCAGGCCGCCAAGCAGGCCGTCCAGGGTATGAAGATCTGCACCCATGACAACCAGAAGTGCTCCACCATTACCGGCAACGCTGCCAACGTGGTCAACGCCTACACCGAGGCCCTCAAGGCCGTCAACGGCATTGGTGGTAACGAGCAGAGTGGTGCCGTTCGTCTCTCCGCGAAGCTTGACTTTAACGAGTAAATGCTTGTTTCTTTTTGATTTAATTTTAGAGCTGTCTTTGTTTGCTATTTGCGTCTTTCCTTTCTTCTGCAAATTATTCGGATCTCTTGTGGAGGGTTGCGGTTTCGTGCCGGTGCCAGTCCTTTATGTGGTTTCTTTGTAAATACCTTTATACCACTGTCTGTATTCATTTTATTGGTCTTCCATCTTCAGCTTGGAGTGTAATTCTTTATTCTGATAAATTTGAAAGCACTGCAAGCCGGACGTGCTTTGCACCCCAGCCTCGCAAGGAGTATCCGTGCCCGTCATAGTTCAATAGCCGACGGCGAAAGATCCTTATCCTGCTAGTCCAAGGTACTTCGTATTGAGATTAATATAACCTCTTGGCTTAAATCTCGCCCTTGATCTTTCTCGTCTAATAATAGGAAAGGGGAATAGTCTAGGTACTTTGTACACCGTACCAAGGACCAAGACTGAGTTAGGGCAATTTTGGTTTACGAGCACTAAGCCTTCACAGATAAAATAACAAAGTGCTACTATGGGTAGCTATAAATAATCGGTAAATGCTAGCAGAAGTGTATATCGAGTAGCAGTTATAAGATGTCTTTTGTCCGTTCGAGATTCTCGCTTGGTACTCCGTACTCCCTTCACCAGATACTATTCTATTTACGCTTTTCGTGTAGTGTTGAATTTTAGTGTCTGCGTGTAATCCTATTCCGTCTTTATAATTTCATACGAAGAACGTTGTACTTTTGATGTTATTGCTCGCATCTAGACCCGACTCGAGAGTAGCATTCAGTATAACAATAGAATTTCATGACGACCACAACAGGTTCCTTTTTCTCCTTCTGTCCTGAAAGGCGTGTTAGGAACGACGCGCAGACCCGTCCACGC